GGTGCGGAATGGGATCCGTGCGTACCAGGGGTGATTTTGTGAAGGCACCAGAGTCAGGATAAGATGCGATTTCTTTCAGGGCGCCCCCAGCAACTCGTCGAATGGACGATACGCATACGCTCTCCTGAGCTCTGTGAGTCCCTGGCGGGTCTGGTGTTTGACTTGGGTACAGTCAGAGCTGGAAGCAGGTCCACGTTTGGTTCAGGAAGGAGGAGGAGGAGGAGGAGGAGGAGGAGGAGGAGGAGGAGGGGGAGGAGGAAGAGGAGGAGGAGGAGGAGGAGGAGGAGGGGGAGGAGGAGGAGGAGGAGGAAGAGGAGGAGGAGTCAGGGCTGGAACCAGGTCCACTCTTGGTTCAGGAAGGGCTCTGATCTTCAGCTCGTTCCTCAGGCGTCAGGTCGGGGAAGCCGTGCGCGGCCGGGGCTCGCCGTGGCCAGGAAAAGCCCCTCGGCATCGCTCGGACGTGTGCACTTGTTTCCTTTCGGCGAGGACCCTCGAGGAGCAGCCTCAATTCGCAGGCGATGTTTCTCCCCCAATCCCCGAGTTTCGCCCAAAAAGTTTGGCCGCTCAGAAAAATGGAAAAACCCTGGGATACACCCCAAGGGGGCTATTCGGACGCACCCCTATCGAGGATGGGCACCCCCCCATCGTATATCCCAGGGTTGGGCCCCAAATTTCTGGTCCATTCGGAAACCCCACGAAGCCTGGGATAGGGGTCGACGTATCCCTTGTTACCAATCATTTGGCGGAAAAACACGCACGACACCGAAAAAACACAGGGAATGGACGCCCGAGCGGTGGCCAGAAGCGCCCCTTCATTCCTCATCCGGCGTTCCTCCTCTCATGGCACAGTGACAGAACTGTACGGGCACATGTCGCCACGAAGGAAGCGGGCCCTGCGGAAAACGAGTACAGTCGGGGCGCTGCAGAAGGAACCCTTTTCGTTGGGGAGGGGCTCGGTGTTCCTTAGTTGTTTTGCAGTTCGCCTTTGGTTTTGCTTAGGGTTTCGATGGGACATCGAAGTTTAACTAATGGGAAAAAGGGGCCTCGTTCCTTAATTAGGGTTCCTTAGGCCAACGCCCCGACTGTATTGGACCCCTGGGCTTTTCCCGCAGGACCAGTTTGTTCATCTTGGTTGGTTGTTTGATTGTTCTCGACGTTCCAGGACACCCTCTCCAGGAACTGCTCACTTCATGCTGCAGAACATGCAGCTTGATTCGTCTCTGGTCTCTCCGGCGGTCGCTGCCTCCACCGCTACGTTCAGGAGGGGAAAAAACACACAGACACAATGAATCCTCGATTCCCCAGGAAATGGGAAAATATGGGAAGTGGGGGGGAAGACAGAAACCCACAACATATCGGAAACTATAGGGAATATTTTTATGTGTGTGTATTTCCCCACATGCTTCGTGGGGTTCTGGTTTTCTTCCCTGCCGCGCCGCACCCGCGACACTCACACACACACACACCTCACTCTTCGTACAGCACAGCACAGCACAGCACAGCACAGCACAGCACAGCACAGCACAGCACAGCTCAGCTCAGCTCAGCACAGCACACAGCTCAGCTCAGCTCAGCACACAGCACAGCGCAGCACAGCACAGCACAGCTCAGCTCAGCTCAGCACAGCACAGCTCGGCTCAGCACAGCTCAGCACAGCCAAGCACGGCCCAGCACAGCACAGCACAGCTCGGCTCAGCTCAGCTTGACACGCTCGCAGAGCGTGGCAGGCGCTGCATTTTCTCGGCACCACTGGGGGCCCAGGGCGTTGCAGGCGTGGCACTTCCTCAACACCACAGGGGCGGAGCTGTGGGTGGGGACGCTATCCGTTTCGGGCTCGCAAAGCGTGGCAGGCGTGGCACTTCCTCGACACCACAGGGGGGGAGCTGTGGGTGGGGACGCTATCCGTTTCGGGCTCGCAAAGCGTGGCAGGCGTGGCACTTCCTCGACACCACAGGGGGGGAGCTGTGGGTGGGGACGCTATCCGTTTCGGGCTCGCAAAGCGTGGCAGGCGTGGCACTTCCTCGACACCACAGGGGGGAGCTGTGGGTGGGGACGCTATCCGTTTCGGGCTCGCAAAGCGTGGCAGGCGTGGCACTTCCTCGACACCACAGGGGGGGAGCTGTGGGTGGGGACGCTATCCGTTTCGGGCTCGCAAAGCGTGGCAGGCGTGGCACTTCCTCGACACCACAGGGGGGGAGCTGTGGGTGGGGACGCTATCCGTTTCGGGCTCGCAAAGCGTGGCAGGCGTGGCACTTCCTCGACACCACAGGGGGGGAGCTGTGGGTGGGGACGCTATCCGTTTCGGGCTCGCAAAGCGTGGCAGGCGTGGCACTTCCTCGACACCACAGGGGGGGGAGCTGTGGGTGGGGACGCTATCCGTTTCGGGCTCGCAAAGCGTGGCAGGCGTGGCACTTCCTCGTGTGGGTGGGGACGCTATCCGTTTGGCGCGCAAAAGCGTGGCAGGCGTGGCACTTCCTCGACACCACAGGGGGGGAGCTGTGGGTGCGTGGCAGGCGTGGCACTGTGGGTGGGGACGCTATCCGTTTCGGGCTCGCAAAGCGTGGCAGGCGTGGCACTTCCTCGACACCACAGGGGGGGAGCTGTGGGTGGGACGCTATCCGTTTCGGGCTCGCAAAGCGTGGCAGGCGTGGCACTTCCTCGACACCACAGGGGGGAGCTGTGGGTGGGGACGCTATCCGTTTCGGGCTCGCAAAGCGTGGCAGGCGTGGCACTTCCTCGACACCACAGGGGGGAGCTGTGGGTGGGGACGCTATCCGTTTCGGGCTCGCAAAGCGTGGCAGGCGTGGCACTTCCTCGACACCACAGGGGGGGAGCTGTGGGTGGGGACGCTATCCGTTTCGGGCTCGCAAAGCGTGGCAGGCGTGGCACTTCCTCGACACCACAGGGGGGGGAGCTGTGGGTGGGGACGCTATCCGTTTCGGGCTCGCAAAGCGTGGCAGGCGTGGCACTTCCTCGGCACCACAGGGATTGCGCTGTGGGTGGTACATATCTTTATCCGTGACGGGCTCGCAAAGCGTGGCAGGCGTGGTATCTCGTCGACACCACAGGGGGTGCGCTGGGGATGGTCTCCTTATCCGCTGCGAGCTCGCAAAGCGTGGCAGGCGTGGCACTTCCTCGACACCACAGGGGATGCGCTGGGGTTGGTCTCCCTATCCGTTGACGGGCTCGCAAAACGTGGCAGGCGTTGAACTTCATCGACACCACAGGGGGTGCGCTGGGGGTGGTATCTTGATCCGTTGTGGGCTCGCAAAGCGTGGCAGGCGTGGCACTTCCTCGACACCACAGGGGGGGGTGCGCTGGGGTTGGTCTCCCTATCCGTTGCGGGCTCGCAAAGCGTGGCAGGCGTGGCACTTCCTCGACACCACAGGGAGTGCGCTGGGGGTGGTATCCCTATCCGTTTCGGGCTCGCAAAGCGTGGCAGGCGTGGCATTTCCTCGACACGACAGGGGGTGCGCTGGGGGTGGTCTCCCTATCCGTTGCGGGCTCGCAAAGCGTGGCAAGCAATATGGCGTTGGATGACACATAGGGAAACATTCGCGACGAGGGTTCAGAACGCAGGATTGCACATATATTAAAGACATAAGCAAGCACATCAGATTTACATGAAGTATGTGGGGTTCTTCGGTAGCGTAATTATTTGTGTGTCCTGGGGACCCTTCATACTTTCGTTCATGCCGAACCCTCGGGGCTCAAGGGGCGGTAGTCAATGCAAACGGGGGTCAGCCAGGGCGCCAGATCCTGCAGGATCCTGCAGGTCCAGGGCTGCACTGGCCCAGGCTTGCGCGCAGGATCATGCAGGAACTTGCAGGATCCTGCAAAGCCCGACTGACTCGAGCTTGCATTCACCCGAAACAGTAGATACCCGACATGTTGGTCTCGAGCAATCTCGGCCATGGGCCTACCACGCATACTACAGTGAATGGCATCGCTGCTCCCTAGACCTCCAACGTATTGAAAGAAGAGTACGGAGGTCTTGCGAGCGTTCGGCCTCTGGAGGCCATTCACCATGCGCTGGGCCGGTTTCGTCCCCCCCGAATTAGGTCACCCTACACCACCACCCGCCCGATCATAATGAAGACGCGGCCATGGGGAAATCGCCAGGAGTTCCCGAGACCTCCTGTCGAAACAGTAATTCATCATGTGTTTGTTTTGTGTCGCAGGGTGCAGCCAAATTTCCCAGTTACGCTTTGCCTGAGGGGTTGTCTTAGCTTCTTGGTTCCTTGTTCTTAGTTCCTTGAATTCTTGGTTCCTTGGTCATGGATGGTTCTTTGCTTGCTTGCTTGGCTCCTTGGTTCCTTGTTACTTGTTCCTTGGCTACTTGGTCTTGGTCCCTTGATCATTTGGTTTGTCTCCACTGCTACATCGCCACGCAACGCCGAGCAATGCAAAGCAAGGCCAAGCAACATGCCAATGCCAGTCAGTACGCCAGGCAATGCCACGCAATGCACCCGTGGAATCAAAGGTTTTGCCTACTTGCGTCAGGTGTTTGGTTCGGGGATAGGGTCCACAGCGGCTTCGGCATGGAATCGATGCTCCTCAGTCATATCCGTGTGCCTGCCCTGTAGTTCCTCCTGCACCTGGGCGCGAGTGAGGCTCCAGAGGGGCGTCGATCCTTCCCCGGCGGTCCCCCATGAACATAGATGTGGCTGCCCCCGGAGCGCACATCGCGTGCCGTGTTGCGGAGCTGTCGTCTCTCGTGCGCCTGCCTTCTGGGGGCACTGGAGGAGGTGCGCCTGCTGGCCTGGGAAGGGGGGGCACGGCCATGCAGCAGCCATTTGTCAGGAGTGAAAAAACACACAGACACAATTAATCGTCGATTCCCAAGAAAATATAGGAAAATATGGGAAGTGGGGGGGAAGACCCCCCCCCCGAAAAAAAATACGAAAATATGGGGAATCCTTTTATATGTGTGTATTTATTTGTGTGTCCCAGTTCCCCTTCAATTTGTCCGCAGCCGGGTCCCAAAAGCGTCGGCCGAGGACCACGGCGCCTTGACCTACCAGGAGAGCAAGGCGCCGCCCTGCCCTGGCACAGAGCAGCAGTTGTGATAGGCGAGGTCGCTGTGCTGCAGCACCAGCGCTGCCTTGCTTCGTCGGTGCACGGCAGTAGGGAGCAATTCGGATACCCGGATACGGGCACACGTCGGTCGCTGGAAGCAGGTACTTTTGGACTCCCAGATTCTTACTTCAGGGATCGAGTGGCTTTCCTGTTTCCCCCCTCTTCAGGGTGGGGGTGCGGAGGCCCCATCTGCTTCCAACTCTTTCCTGCTTCATGTGTCTGCCCACTTCTTCCAACAGGCGGGCACCCTTCTGTCCCTCTTTGCATTCTGTGTCGCTCACGTCATTCCTCGGCACTGGGAGCTGCATCATAGAGCAAGGCTGGTGTGCTCAAGCTCGGATACTGGTGCGGCCACCTTGCGGGTAATGATGAGACTGGGCAAAGCTTTCGGTTTGCGATGGCCTCGCGTCGGACTTGCAGTCTCAAAGATCTACCATTTTTAGAAATTGGCGCTGTGAGAATGGTTTTTCTCCTGGCTCCTCTTGTACAGCGTCTTGAGACCGCTCCCGGCCCCCTCGAGAGGCCTCCAGAGGGACGTGCTCGGCTACCTGGACCCATGGGAGCCATTTAGGGCCATCTTGGACGCCCTGACCGCTAGCTGCCACCCCCCGTCTAGATCCAGGGGAGGGGGTTGGGGACGGGGTCAAGTTCCCAACAGGAACGCCGCTGTCTCGCGAAGTCCCACCCGTCTGGTCACCACATGAGCAGCACCTGGGGCTCAGCATAGGCAGTGACGGCCATCCGACAGACAGCACTTATGAACCAATGTAGATGTCAGATGCGCCACGCATGCCATGTGTCCTAGGTTCTCAAATGTACCATGCGCGCCTGTTGAGCCAGTGCACGTGACAACACACTGGGCAAAGCCCTCTCCTCACCCGTGTGCTAACTCATGCAAAATAACAGCAGGGTGGTCAGCGTAGTGTATGGCAGCAACGTGTGGTACGTTTCAGTGCTCACTGCAAAGACGGTGGGGGAAAGGCACGGAGTCTGGTCGACGGCCACCCGAATGGTGAGAAGGGGTGCGTTTTGATTCGGAATTGTGGTACACCCCTCCCGGCGGGGATGACGTGGCATCGGAAGAGAGGGCGCCCGCTGAAGCACCGACGCCCAGTTTTCCCTCGTTGGGCACCGGTCTGGGCGCTCTCGCGCGCAGGTCTTCTCCGGCGAGGTGCACCTGTGTAATGTCTACGTGCATGAGAAGAGGGCGGTCGTAACTTTCGAGGTCTATGGCCTGGACTCCCAGGCGGCTGCGCGCGAGCGGAGGAGGAGGAGGAGGAGGAGGAGGAGGAGGAAGGAGGAGGAGGAGGATGAGGAAGGAGGAGGAAGGAGGAGGAGGAGGAGGAGCAGGTGGAGGAGGAGGAGGAGGAGGAGCAGGAGGAGGAGGAGGAGCACGAGGAGGAGGAGGAGGAGGAGGAGGAGGAGGAGGAGGAGGAGGAGAGGAGGAGGAGGAGGAGGAGGAGGAGGAGGAGGAGCAGCCGGAGGAGGAGAACGAGAAGGATGATGAGGAAAAGGGCGATCGTGACTGTCGAGGCATATGGCGCGTACTCACAGACGACTGCTCGCGAGACAGGGAGGAGGAGGAGGAGGAGGAGGAGGAGGAGGAGGAGGAGGAGGAGGAGGAGGAGGAGGAGGAGAACGACGAGGAGGAGGAGGAGCAGGAGCAGGAGCAGGATCAGGAGCAGGAGCAGACCGATGAGGAGGATGAGGAGGGGGAGGGCGGTCGTGACGTTCTGGGTCTACGGCCTGGGCGCCCTGGCGACTTCGGCGCGAGCCAGCCCCTCCCCGTCTCGCTCCCCCTTCTCTCTCCATGCTGTCCCCGGACCCCCTCGGAGCTCATGGTGCCTCTTTCGAATTTGCCGCATTTTTTGTATTCTGTCGATCCTCGATTTGTTCTGCCCCCCACGGCATGCCGACAGCATTGTTGAGACACCGTTCTGGGTTGTCAGGAGTTGTTCATTCCCCGAGCCTTCACTCTTTGCGCAGGCTTTCTTACCTCGATTCTGGCTGGCGAGGCCTGGGTGGAACACGTGAGAATGACATGCGTCTTGATTCTCGACATTGAAAGTCATTTTTGCACTCTGGACTTGCGTATTCCCCCATCTCCTGGGAACGGGTAGGCGTTCACAAAAATTACGCCTCGTCGCCTTTTGTAGCCTGACTCGGGGAACAGGCAGTGTGTCAACGGCCATTTGAGATTTGTGCCAAGCACTCTGCATCTCCTCGAGCACGTCCAGCCCTCTCGTCATTCTCGTTTCAGCGGTCATGACCGAACCTGAGAATTTGGCTTGAGGACACGCTGCAGCTCGCGTATCCGACGGCGGAGTTTGACGCGCTCTTCCGCTTCAACGCGGAGCTTTTCATAGCACATCTCGCCGTGTATCCGTCGCGCTAGTCGCCCGGGAGGTAAGCTAGCAAGGGTTTTACGGACGCCATCGATTCATCAGCACATTCGTCTGCGCATTTGTCGCTTGGGCTGGGTGTGGTCTCAGAGCACATCGGTGGGGCATTTGGTCAAAGTCCAAGAGGCATCGCCAACGAAACACTTCCGCCCATCTCCGCGTGAGTCCTTCGTTTTTTCATCGCCTGAGTCCTGCCGGGGGCGGATAAAAGTGAGGGGGCGGGCGCGGGGTAGGTCGACGGTGATTCGAGGGCGGGTCGCGGGTGGGTTGCGGGTGGGTCGCGGTCGGGTCGCGGGTGGGTCGCGGTGGGCAGTAGGTGGGTCGTGGGCGGGTCGCGGGTGGGTCGTGGGCCGGGTTGCGAGTGGGACGACGACGATGACGACGACGACCACGACGACGACCACGACGACGACGACGACGTCGACGACGACCCCGACGTCGACGACGGCGACGACGACGACAATAGCAACAACAATGACAACAACACTAACAACAACAGTACTTTCAAGACTGTACGAGTTTACCTTCTCGCATGCCATTCAACACGTATATCCCAAACCCTCGGTACCCGCCCTCTTCGTCTTCGATTGTACTCCATTGGGAGTATATCTTTATCACCTGCAACGTGTATTTGGTGCAGGCCCCTGAGACAGGGTAAGTGAGTACAGATGGAAGCAAAGGATAAGGGGCAGGCGAGTTGCTGAAGCGAGCGTCCTGCATGAATCGCGAGCAAGTCTCGAGCGATAGCTCGATGTCCAAACGAATCGTGAGGGATCCACATCGAGAGCGTGATCCCTGAGTGTCGAGGGCGCGGTGTCTGAATCGATTGTGAGGAAGTCCCACGCGAAAGCGCGATTCTTGTATACATTGTGAGGACGTCCTGCGCCATAGCGCGATGTTGGAATACATGGTGAGGAAGTATCACGCGGGAGCCGTTGTTGTTGGAAACCCGGGGCCAGGGGCACAGTTTTGTTACCCCTCACTTTGCTTTACAAAAAGCAGTCTGCTTGAAAAGTGCAATTGTTACCGGAGGCGGGGGGATCAACCAGAACTGTTGATTCGACATGGGGTTTCAACAACGCCATCAACAGCAGCACCACCACCACCAACAACAATCTTCCTTTGCTTCTTTATGATTACGTAAGCAACACGCATCCATCATCCCTTTCTGGTGGATTTGTTTGCACTGGGCACATGATTTTCTCCTGACCCGATCTCCCGCTGAATAGGGGTCTTGACAACACTTATGCCGGGGCACTCCGACATCTCCCGCCCAGGAGGCACATCGCATTCGCAATCGCCCTGCCCACGCTTTGCTTCTGAGTATCACCACGCCAGGGTGGCCTAAAACCAATGGGAGAGGCCCCACAACTTTTGGGGGAGTCCCCAGAGGCCAGTGGAGAGCCTCCGGAACTCATCTGGACAGCGCCCAGAGCTTCTCAGAGAAGCCTTGGAGCCCCTGTGGGGAACCAGAGGGGCCCCCGCGACACGTGTCGAAACTGAGCTGGAGGTCAGCACCACCACCAACACCAGCACCACCAACAACAACAACAACAGCAAAGCGAGAGCGTGATTTCTGAGTGTCGAGGGCGCGGCGTTTGAATACGTCGCGAGGAAGACCCACGTGGGTGCGCGATTTCTGCATACGTTGGAAGGAAGTTCCGCACGAGAGCGCGATTTGGGAATCAATTGTGAGGAAGTATTCGGCGGGAGCCGTTGTCGCTGTAAATCTGGGGCCAGGGGCCCAGTTTGGTGACCCGTTGTCTTCCCTTTTAAAAATAGTTTGGTAGCCCCAGGTCGGGCAGTTAAACGGAAAAAACAAAATGTATCCCAGAGGTTGGGGATCAACAGTAACTATTCTTCAGTAGTGAGAGTTCAACACCAACAACAACCACGCAAAGACAATCCGCACTGCGGGACCTCACTGGAGCCACGCACCCAGGGACAGTGAACGACCGTTCAGCCCCTTCGCTCTGATAATGTATGCTCGGGCTGTTCTCGGTATATATTGCTTCTTCGACAGATTATTAACTATGGTGCAAGGGACAAGTGTTGTATTGGTGTTTGCGTCTGGAGCTTTAAGGGGGCTTGCAATTTTTCGTACCAAGCCCTCGCGGTTCTACATGTTGTCTCTGGCCATAACTATTGTGATTTGCATTGCCGATGACAGTAGTTTCGTCAGATTTGTGATGCAGGTTGCGTTCGTTGATTTGGCGATCTCCGCTGGCAGGAACCGACACATAGTGATTTCGCACATGGTTGCAGATGCGTTCATGTCGTGTAGCCAGTGCGCGTTGTTACTTCGATTTTTGCCTGGCCAGTGTGAGTTTTGAGTTTTGCTCGGTCGGCAGGCATGTCGTTCAGGGTTGGTTGGTGTTGTCGTTTCGTTCGCACAGTTGGCTATCACGCGTTGTTGCAGTTGTGCCCATGTTCCCGTAGTCAACGTGAATTTCATTCATCATTCCATTCTCCTTTTTGAGAGGAGCTGATGAACCCCAACCGGAAAGAGGGTCGATACCATTGGGTGACTCGCGAGCCAAGTGTTGATTCGTTGCTTTTTCTCAGAAGAGGAGGATCGAGGCCATGAGGAGAACGAGGAAGATCAGGATGCACCGCTTGATGTTGCCATGCACGTCCAGGCGTTCTTGCAAACTGCACGGTTATTTTTCCTTATTTAGCGTAGTGTTGCCGCCGCGGCATCGCTCTTCCTCTCTGGGCTCTCGCGTCCGTCTTCGGCCGCCGGTTCCAGCCCGCTGGCAATGCCGCGATCGCGGCTGCCGAACAAGAGTGTGCTGAGGCACGGGCGCGATTCCGAGCCGACGACCAGGTCCGACCCACCCGATCGTTTTGCGAGTCTTCTCCACCCTTTTTCCCTCCCATTGTCCTTCCCTGAAGTCGGTCCTGTCCCTTTACAGGAGGGCTATCCAAAATAGTCAACAAATAGTCTGGGGGCGATCTCTTCGACTACATTTGGGCATTTGGGGGGTATTTCTTGCGTATTTTGAATTTTTCCGCCCAAACTCCCTCTGTAGGGGGACAGGCCCGACTGAATCCTTCCCCCCTTCTCGTCGTGGCCCCTCGCCCCTCTGTCCCCACCCGTCCTTGCCCGCGAGGTTCCTTTGCCGTTCCCTGTCTGGTGTCCCGTCGCCCCCCCGTTCGGGTTCGCAGTGAGAGTGCCACGTGCTCCATGGTACTCCAGATTTCGTAATAAAGGGAGGGGGGTCTCATTTCGGGGGGGGTCTCTTCCAGGCTATCTTGGAGGGCCTGGGGGGGTCTGGGGACGATGTTTTGGAGGGTTCTCCCACGGGGGAGGTCTGAAATGGCTTGTCTTGGAGGGTCCAGACCCCCTCCTTTTATTACGAAATCTGGAATATGTTTTGGTGACCAGGCGAGAAGGTCATAACACGTGAACGTGGCCACGATACGACATTTTTTATCGGCACGTGGGCCGCAGGATCATCTCTGCGTCAGGCGGTGCACCTCCGGGCCGTCCAGGGTTGTTGGTTCATGTCGTGCCGAAGTGAGGTTTGCTCGGAATGCGCCGAGCCGCTCCCAACTGCTTTAGAATGCTGTTGCATGTGTCCGTCCTCGGCAGGTTATTGCGCGGTTGGAGATCGTGGTCGTTGGGAAGGATCGCGCTCGCACGCTTCTTTAGAAACGCCTTGGTCGTTGCATCGTCAATGTGCTTGTCTTGTCTTCAGTCTGCTTGTTTTGCGCCGCTTCGATTAACCATTGTACATGCAGGTTTCTGAGACTCGCGAGGCCCATCGTTCGCAATGTGCGAGGCTCAGATTTTGAACGTCTTGCTCCTGCACGTCCACTGGAGGTCGCAATCCGATTCGTGAGTGCCTGACGTAGTCTCGAAAATTCTAGCCGCTTCGCGTGATCCCACCAGGTGACTGACCTTTCAGACTCCCCGGGATTGCACGACCGTTGGGCCTCTCAGACGCCCTGGGTTGCCGCCCCCGCCGCCTGATCCGCGGCTCCCGCGCGCGCCCGGGAATTCAGTCGCGGCCGCAGCCCGACCGTGACTGCTCGCCGCCGGCGCTTCCGCCTGCGGCTGTAAAACAAAACAAATAATATAAACAAGTAATCCCACCAGCGTTCGCGTCCCGGACTTTGCTTTCCGCTCCCTGTCCGTTGCCTCGGAGCCGCCGGCCAAAAAAGTAACCCCACCAGCCCATCCAGAAACGATGCCCAGAGGAATTGCCTCGATCAGGGAAGAGGGCAGCACACAGAGGAAGGGTCCCCCAGTGGAGGTCTCTTGGAGCGTCTTGGGGTCCTCTTGGCGGTCCCGGACGCCTCTTAGAGCGTCTTCGGTGCCTCGATTGCTTCTCGAGGCCTCTTGGGGGTCTGTTGGGAGCCTCTTGGAGGCTTCTTCGGCGCCAGTTGGGGCCTCCTGGGGACTCCTGGGCGCTCTTGGATTGATTTTCCCAAGGTTTCGGAATGATTTTGGCCTCTTCGGGGCCTCCTTGGGGCGCTCTTTGGCCACATGGAGCCGTCTTGGAGCGGTCTTGGGGCCTCTTAGAGCATTCGTGAGAGCCATCTTGAGACATCTTGGGATATCTTGAGCCATTTTGGAGGTCATCTTGGGCTCTCCCAGGCGCTCTTGGAGTCACCTTAATCAGTGCCCCCCCACCCAGGAAGCCAACATGTTGCCAAAACCTACGTAAACTCAATGGTTTTAGCATTCTCGCCGAGGCCTCGTCGAAGCGTCTTGGGTGCCTCTGGGGGCCTCTAGGGGCCTCTTGGGGTCTCTTGGGAGCTTCTTGGGGACATCCTGGGGGCCTCTTGGGGGCCTCTTGGGGCCTCCTGGCCACCTCTTTGGGCCCTCTTGGGGTACCCTTGGGAGCCTTGGGAGCGCTCTTGGGGCCATCTCGGAGGAGATCGATCAAACAAGAGGGGGGCATTAATTAGCGTCGCCCCCCCAGAAGGCCAAAATGGTGCCAAAACTCTTAGTAAAATCAATGATTTTGGCCTCCTCGCCGAGGCCGTTTCGGACGCTCCGACGACTCGCGGAACCACCTGTCCAGGTCCATGGGGAGGGGGTAGGGGGAGGAGTAAACCCCTCCCCGAAGGGGAAGAAGGAGGGGTGGAAGAGGAAACGCCCTAACCCACCGACGCCCAGAGGGCTGGTGGGATTCTGGACATGTGTGAACCTCGAATCCATCGCTGAGATATGGAGCGCTCCAGTAAAGGCTTCGCCTTCGAGGATCGAAGGCGTTGCCATCTCCGCCTCGGCGGAAGGCGCGGCGGAAGGCGGCCTGGCGGAAGGCTGGCGGAAGGCGACGGCAGTGAGAGAGCGCCCCTGAGAGATGAACTCTTTTTTTTGGGGGGGTGCAGGGTTTCCGGAATCCCTCACGCAGAGTGCACGGGAGAGCTCCTCCCGACGCCCGAGGAGCGTCCCCCGAGCCTCCTCCCCTCCCCGCTGGGGGGTGTCACTGCCCCCCCGCGAGGGGCCCCGCGTCGCCCCTGGCGCCGCGCGCCGCGGTCCCCCCTCGTTGGGCCCAGGCCCGACGCTCCGGGACGGGGGGGGCAGCAGGGCTCGGGGGCTTCTCGTTGTCATTGTGGTTCTCGCTGCTGTCGTCGTTGTCGCGATCCTCCTCCTCCTCTTCCTCTTCCTCCTCCTCCTCCTCCTCCTCCTCCTCCTACATCTCCTCCTCCCCCTCCCTCCTCCTCCACTTCCTCCTTCTCCTCCTCCGCCTCCTCGGGTCGCCTACGGCCCCGGGGGAAACCGTGCAGGGGGACTTGTTGGCGGGGGAGCCCGGCCGCGGCAAAGACGCGCCCGCCAGGCGGTCGCAGACATGGATCAAGGGCGCGTGGAGTAGCGACGGGTCGAGGCGGAGTCCTCGAGGGGGATCTGGGGTCGAGGCGGAGTCCCCGAGGGGGATGGGCCTCAGGCGATCGCAAACATGGATCAAGGGCGCGTGGATTAGCGACGGGTCCCGTTTCCACGGGAAATCGCGGGTTTCCGCCGCCGAGCGAGGCGGCACCGGCCGCACTTTGGGGAGGCGGATCGCGAATCCATGATTGCGCGCCCCCGATTATCGTTGTTATCGTTGTTACCGTTGTTATCGTTGGCTTGGGGCTCAAGGGACGGGGGCCAATGCAGACGGGGGTCAGCCAGAGCGCTGGCTCATGCAGGATCCTGCAGATTCAAGGGCGCACGGACCCGGGCTAGGGCGTAGGATCCTGCAGGATCATGCAGGATCCGGCAAAGCCCGACTGACCCGGGTTTGCATTTACCCGGGTCAGTAGATCCCGGAGAGCCACGGATTTTTGTTCATCTCTCGGTGGAGGGGGTCCGAGAGATGAACAGCGGCGGTGGGAGCGAAGGCCCTTCCGCAAGTAGGCATTATCTGTGAAAGCCCGAATGCCGTTGGGGGAAGCTGCACTCCATGGGTAACGTCTGCTGTCACGTTGGTGTTGCCAGGTGCCCTTCTGTTGCAGGGGTTGTGGAGCCGCAACACTAAGGGGACCCCATAGCATCGTCACAGCCACACATGCACACATTCGCGACGCATGATTAGATGCAGGAGGGGAAAAACACACAGACACAATTAATCGGCGATTCCCAGAAGATACAGGAAGATATTGAAAGTGGGGGGGAGACAAAAACCCAGAAAAAATATTGGAAAATATGGGAATAGTTTTATTTGTGTGTATTCATTTGTGTGTCCCAGTTCCCCTTCATAGATGTCGAGTACAGTTGCGTGATTCATGCTTGAATTCTAGAAGTCTGCGGCGGAGTACCTCAGGCATGATCTGAGGCTATCCGTCCTGCCCGCGTGCCTGCTCTCCTTCCCGCATCGGTCTTCACAACGCTCACCGTGAGGGCCTCTCGATCGAGGACTGTCGAGTCCTCTGCACGGCAAGATCGAGGCCGGGTATGGAGGTCGAACCGCCGGACTCGTGAGGTTCTTCATTTGCGAGTTCCCTTGTTGAGGTCAAGAGGTCTCTCCACCGTCTCGGTAGGAAGCAGGCTGCAGCTCCCAGGGCTGCTGCTGCTGCCATAACGCCTCGCGCCTCGGGAGCTGGCCGCGCGCGGGCGCGTCCGCCGTGCAGGGCCGAGGAGCGGAGGCCGGGCGAGCCCCGGCGAAGCGTCCCGGCCCCCCGCCAGGACAGCAAGCTGCAGGTCGCCGCGAAGCCCACCGAGGAGGTGGCGCAGGTCCCGCAGTACGAGACCCAGCGGAAGATACCAACAGGACGGGCATCGGGAGCCTTGAGACGGGGGTCAATGCAAACGGGGGTCAGCCACGGCGCAGGATCCTGCAAGATCCTGCGACGACCCCCTCTGGCTGACCCGGGTTAGGGAGCCGTTCGTGGCCGCGAGGCGGCCGCGCCTATTGGCTGACCCCGGTTTGCGAGGACCTGCGCTGCAGTTTGTTTTTCCTGCATTGCAGTTTTTGGTTTCCAGCTGACCCGGGTCTGGATTGACCCGGGTCAGAAGATCCCCGAGGGCAGTTTATGTCACACGCCTTGCAGGAGCACACGTGTTCAGCGTGTGTGTGTGTGTTCTTGTACTGGCGGGTGCAAGGACGTGACGGATCTGTCGTGCATGCTGCATGTTAGAGTTAGCATGTATGAGCATCTTTTCAGCGTGTTGATTGATTATCCACTGTCGCATGTTCTTCGCACTCGCCTCTCGCCATGGTTTGCTGTCAAGGGTACTGCTGACTGCCTGCTTTTCGGAAACTTGGTCAAGGTGGTCATCTTGGTTGACGAAGCCAGCTGGCAAAGCTCACTGGGTTGTGTCCGCAACATGGGGGGAGTTGGCTGGGCAAACAGACTTGACTCGCTGGGATGGCCGGCCAGCTCGTGGCGCGAATTTCTAAGTGTCCTGACGCAAGCGGGGTGAGCCCTCGACAGGGCTGCGCCACATTGCACATCGGAGTCCACTCCGAAGCGGCGCTGTCGAGGAGGCGTGTGCCTGGAGGGCGTCCATGAGACCCGCGTCGTCGCAAATCTCGGACGCCGACTGGACACGACCGTTTGGACCAGAACGGCGAGGGTTGAGTCCGAATAGACTCGAAAGGAACAGCTGTGACGACATCTTCCGCGAGGCGCTCGCCTCTGGGCAGGTTGCAGAGAACACAAGAGCTCCTAACCCGAATAGCGCGATGAGAACGTGGCCTCACTGCGGCCCCCGTCTTCGCACTCGGGATGCTAAGTCTGGGCGGGTTGGTCCGATACGTCTGCAGAAAAGACCCCCGTGTCCCTAGTGCTTTTGGCCCTCCTGCCTTAGGTCCGTCCCCAAAGGGTTAGGGGTACTTTCGTTGCTCATCGGCAGGGGGTCGGGGATGCTTTGGACGCCCGAAATGGGCACGGAAAGAATGGGTACGATGCCCAACAGCAGTTCCTGTTCATGTTGAGCCGGATCCGCTGTCCACGCCGCCGTGGCCCGTGCCCATTCGAGACAGGAGGCCGCCCGCCCAACAGCGGCCGCTGTCGGTTTGGGACAACAGTTGTTGTTGGGGATTGTACCATTCTTTTCGGAGGAGGAGGAGGAGGAGGAGGAGGAGGAGGAGGAGGAGGAGGACGGGAGGAGGAGGAGGAGGAGGAGAGGAGGAGGAGGAGGAGGAGGAGGAGGAGGAGGAGGGGAGGAGGGGGGGAAGGAGGAGGAGGAGGAGGAGGAGGGAGAGCCCGCGGTGCTGCGCTGCGTCGGCCCGTCCCCCCCCCCCCGGGCCTGCGGCCGCGGGGCACACGCCGGCGGGGCGCCCCGGGCCGGGGAGAAGCCAGGAGGCCGCACGGCGCGGCACACGCCTGGGCGGTGGCAGGGGGGCCAGGGGCACACCCTCCTCCTCCTCTCCTCCTCCTTCCTCCTCCTCCTCCTCCTCCTCCTCCTCTCCTCCCCCCTCCTCCTCCTCCTCCTCTCTCTCCTCCTCCTCCCTCCTCCTCCTCCTTCCTCCTCCTCCTCCTCCTCCTCTCCTCCTCCTCCTCCTCCCTCCTCCTCCCTCCCTCCCCCTCCTCCTCCTCCTCCTCCTCCTCCTCCCCCCTCCTCCTCCCTCCCCCTCCTCCTCAGGAGGGAAGGGGAACAACAAGCGGCATAAACATGAAACAACTCGGAGGTCCGCGCGGAATTCTTGCATCGGCGCTGGGGCCCCCCGGCGGCGCCTCCGGCGCCGCCCCCGGCGCGCTCCGCGCGCCAGGGAGGGGGGTCCAGCGCCGATCCGAGAATTCCGCGCGGACCTCCGAGTTGTTATGTTTATGCCACTTCTTGTGCCCCTACTGAATAGACACGGATCTCAGGATGCCTGATATGTTCTCTGCTTTCTAGGTTCCGTCTTCCCCCCACTTCCCACATTTTCCCATCTTTTCCTGGGAGAATCGGCGATTGCTTGCGTCTGTGTGTTTCTTACCCTCCTGATTCTGGTGTGTTACATGCCAAAACGACAACGACTGGAGTGTTGACCAGGGCCCCACCAAGCGAAGGAAAGAAGCACACGGTCGTCACACGGTACGGCGTTGTGCTGCGGTGTCTTGCTTTAACGGACATCCGTTGTAACTGCACTGTGGGACTCGGTATGTAATGACGTAGCTTGCGTTGCTCGGATTGAGAAGCATTGAATTGAGGTGCTTTACATTGCCCCCGTTTGCGTCTTATTATAGTGCGTTGTTTCAACTTGCTTTGAGTTTGAGCTTGAATTGGTGTGGGTTGCTTTACTTTACGTCACAAGCCAGTGCTTATTAGTACTGCGACGCATTGATTGCAATCCACCGCAATGCATCGCTACGCAATGCCAACCATCGCAGGGCAACGCATTGCAATGCAAATAATGCAACGCCATCCATGGAACCGAACATGAGCGTCGATATAATGAAAGGCAATGTGCTGCAACGTATTGCAACGCGAGCCAGCGTTATTCGCTATAACGCAACGCAACGAGCAAACCGTCGATTCAAAGCAGCACACTGCAACACAAAGCCATGCAGCGCTATGCAACACGATGCTATGCAAGACGATGTTATGCACAACACTTTCACTGCAAACCAAGGCAAACCGATCCCACGAACCACTATGAAAAACAACGCCGCGCAAATGCAAATCAACGCAGATGCAGCGTCCTGCATTGCGACGCACTTCTATGCGGAGCGCCGCACCGAACAGATGGAGCGCAGTGCACAGCAACGCGTGGCACTGCGCAACCAACCGATGCATGACAATACAAAGCAACGCAGGTCAAAGCAGCGCAATGTAAGCGACATTGCACTCGAAGCCAAGCCTCGATCGAGTTGGGAGCGTTGTTTTTCGAAGGGACCGTGGCCGCGCAGACGGGGACGGGAAGACCGGGGAGGCATGCCATGCGAGAGTCTGGATGTGCCGTCACGATCCCCGGATCGTGCTGCTGCGGTCGCCACACAGCGGAGCCACGCGGCCCTGGCGATTGCCTAGGATGGGCACTGTTGGTGGTGGCGCTGCTCGTCGCCGCCGTCGTCCTCCTCTTCTCAAGATCGTTTACTCGACCCCTATCCCCAGCTCCATCCTCATCCCGAGCCCAACATTTCACCAACCCAGTCGTTACCAGCCTGGAACATGTCCCTATCCCTATGCTGTGCACCTCCTCATCACGATGCCAATCTTAGGGATTCCCTTATTTTTCAAAACCCTAATGGTAAAGTCGGGGTACACCTTAGGCGATGCTTAAGAAAACCCAGATTTTCGGCCAGAGTCTCGATTATTCTTAACGTTTCAATGCAAACCTTAGGATTGTGATAGAAATGTTGGGTTTTTATTCAAATTCTGAGACTATGAATTTCTTAACCCATGATTTCTTAAGCATTTCGCGGGGTGTATACCTTTCAAAACCCTGCTGGCAAAAGCCTGTATCCCCATCTAGGGGGGCAGATCGGCCGGCGGGGCCCAGGCCACGCCCATAGGGGACGGGGGTCGGCTACGGGATGCTCATCTTCCCTGTCCTCGCCCACCTCGCCTTCCTCCTGGTCCGGCTCGCCGTCGTCCTTCTCGCTTTCCTCCTCGACCATCTCGGCTCTTCTCCTTGTCCTCGCCGTCGTCCTCCTCGTCTTCGTCCTCGTTTCGTCGGCGTCCTCTGGCGTCCGAGCGGCGGTGCGGCGTGCGCGCTCGTTCCACTGCGGCCGTGCCGGCCGCGAGCGCCGCGCCCGCGAGGGCGCATGGACCTGAAGGAGCGGCAGAGGCTCCGGGAGCAGATGGACATGCTCGAGATCAGGCGAGGGGGAGGAAGAGGATCTGGACGCCCGAGACGGGCACGGAAAGAACGGGTACGATGCCCAACAGCAGTTCTGGTTCATTCTGAACAGGATTCGCTGTCCGCGCCGCCGCGGCCTGTGTCCATTCGAGACAGAAGGCCGCCCGCCCAACAGCGGCCGCTGTTGGTTTGGGACAACATTTGTTGTTGGGCATTGTACCCATTCTTTCGGTACCCATTTCGGGTGTCCAAAGAGGAGACGATGAGGGAAGAGGGGTGTGGCGCGGAGTCGAGGGGGAGGGGAAGGGATGCGGAGGAGGAGGATGAAGGGGTGACGATGCGATGGGGCAGGGAGTGGGACGGCAAGGAATGATAGGGTGCGTAGAACAGGAAGATGATGATGATGATGATGATGATGATGATGATGATGATGATGATGATGATGATGATGATGATGATGATGATGATGATGATGATGATGATGATGATGATGATGATGATGATGATGATGGTGATGGTGATGGTGATGATGATGATGATGATGATGATGATGATGGTGATGGTGATGATGATGATGATGATGCTGATGCTGATGCTGATGCTGATGCTGATGCTGATGCTGATGATGATGATGCTGATGCTGCTGGTGATAATGATGATGCTGATGATGACGATGATGATGATGCTGGTGATGGTGATGATGATGATGATGATGCTGATGCTGATGCTGCTGCTGCTGCTGATGATGATGATGATGATGATGAGGCGGAGGAGGAGGAGGTGGAGGAAATGAAGGAGGATGAGACGAAGAAGGGGTATTGAATGTGCTAAGTCTGCTTTCCTGTTCTGCCGCTGAAAGGTCTTCCGAGCCGTGATATTCTATATCTTTGTTTGTTTTCTTTCTCTCTCTCTCTCCCCATATATGTGTCTCTCTCCCTTTCTTTGTTCTGTATGTTTTAAGATGTAAGTTTCGCATTTTTTTTTTGTTTTCTCTCTCTCTCTCTCTCTCTTTGTTTCTCTCTCTCTCTCTCGCTGTGTCTCTTACCGTGTTCTCGCCAGCTATCTTTATGTATCTATCATTCGTTTTCCCCCCCTCGCTCTATATGTCGATCCCTGTCTGTATGCGTAGATATTCATAGCATTGCCTCTTTGGCTGCGTTCGGTGCCCTCTTCCCATCTGGGAGGTATTGCCGTGGCTTCCGCCGCCCGAACTCCGTACACGTCTAGGTGCACCTTGGAAATCCGAGCGAAAACCACCAATCGTGTCGCTTTCCATGTCGCCTTCTATTGGCTACCCGCTTGCGCCGATTCGCTACTTGCTTCTGTCATATCGACTGTGCGTGGGGGGGGGGGGGGGGGGGCGGGCGGAAGAGGGGGGGGGGGGGCAGGTGGGTGGCGGGGGCCCGTCAATCCGTGGAGGGTTGGGCCAGGTTGGTGGGGCGGAAGAGGGGAGGGTTGGGCAGGTTGGTGGCGGGGGCCCGTCAGGCGCCGTGATAACTGTAAGCGTGAAGGTCTTCCGGCAGAAGTTTGGAGCACCCCTGATGCTACGCAAAGCCAGAATTGCGATTAGAGGCTGCCCCATGCAGGGCTCGTTTCGATTCCTCCGATTCGATTAGATTCGATTTCGATGGTTTCCGATTCCGATTCGATTCGATCTGGGATTCCGATTTGAGTTCCGATTTCTTATTGGAGGCATACTAGCCTGCCGATTCCTGCCGATCCGACTTTTCCCGACTGAATTGCCAATTTCCGACGATCCGATTCATGTCGATCGCCGATCCGACTTGTCGATCCGATCCTGGGCTCTCCTGCCCCATGCGTGCATGCCGGTGCGCCTGGCCGTTTGTGTTCTGCCTCGGAGTCGTGCCCCGGTGGAGGGCCGTCGTTTGTTTGCTTTTGAGAACCTGCCCAGCACAGGCGCGCGGAGAACATCCAGAAGAAGCGCCAGGCCAACAAGGAGACCCGTCGCGATAGCAGGCCGGAGTCCCGGCAAGAGCAGATGTTGTCCATGCAGCGATGGAACAATCAGCCTCGAATTGAGTTCCCGGGGTCGGGGGAGCGTAAGACCCGGGTTTGCCAGGACTCGGGTTCGCCATCGTTTTTTGACGACCGCGCCTCGGACTTTGACGAGGAGGAGTTTCGTGGGATGTCTGCAGCGGGAGGCCTCGTCAAAATGCAGGCTCGGCCTCGTCATTTTTTTGACGACCTCGTCGGGGATTTCCGAGTCCCCTGTACCCAGGTCTTACGTCCCCCTGACAGGGGTGGTGCATGTCTAGCCGTCTAGCCTCAGGGGTGCCAACACGTTCTGCCGTGCTCATCTTGACATGAATGGGGGGACGTCGTTGCTGGCGCATGTGCAGCCACCACTGCTAGCGTGGTCTCGCGCTTTGGCTCTACTCCGAACGTAGGCATATCTGAACGTGAACGCATATGCCTCCGTGGCTGTCATGTTAAAAGGAGTTTCTGCATGCTACAATCACCCCTTGTTGCGAGCCGCGTCCTCTTGAGCCGTTGACGTCGTCGCCGCCAGCATTACAGATCATGATGTTTGTGATGATGTGGGCACACACGCAGTTGCAATATTGGCACTCACCAGCTTGCCGCATGGACCCACATCGGACTTCAAGCTCCATAGCTGACAATGCGATACCAGGAGTGTCGAGTCATATCCAGCTGCCTTTTGAGACCCGCCGCCATGCCAGTGCAACCTTTGGTGGCATCGCTTCGAGCATCGAAGGCCGTAACATGTGGCATCTCCTTGTTTCTCCTCGTGGAAGGGGATCTCGTGAGGGGTTGTCTGGGCGGCCTGGGGGCTGTCTTTGGGCTCCTGCAGGGGGGTGGGGCATCCCTGGGCCCGCGCTGGGCCATTTCGGGGAGATCTGTCGATGCCCTCGCGGAACCATCTGGAGCCGACGTGCGCAGGAACCGCACAGCCTCCAAAGCCCGCAGAACTGTGTTTGTGATTTCGGCATTCTTGGAGGTCCGCAGTGTATGCTTAAGTCGGGCCTGTCCCTCTACAGGGGGAAAATTCAAAAATAGGCAAAAAATAGTCTGGCGACTACTTTTTTACAATTTTTGAGCATTTTTGAGATTGGGGGGTACTTTTTATTTTTCGTCCAAAACCCCCCTGCAGGGGGACATGCCCGACCTAGGTGTATGCGTTTTTTGTAATGCGTTGGAGGCCAGTTGGTGCACCCTGGGTGGCCCTGACAGCCAGTCGGGCAGAGCTGATCCGCTGTGCCAGGGGTGGGCGCGCGACCTGCACAGGAGTGAGCGCGCCCGGGCACGGTCAAAGGGCTCCCACGGGCTCATCAGATCTGGGGGCAGGGCGGCGGGGGGGCGACGACGGCGGCGCCGGCGACGGCGAGGGACCAGGGGTCAGAGCGCGCGACGGCCCCAAACGTCGGAACCCAGGGGAGCAGCTCAGCAGAGCTGCAGCGGGAGGTGCCCGAGGGCAGTTTCCAGCGAGAGCAGCTCGGAGAGGTTCCTGGGCATAGCCGCCGGAGGAAACTTCCAGCAAGAGCAGTTCAGCAACATTCTAGAAGGCGCCTCGCCTCGTACCCTGCAGAAGTTCTCCTCAGAATCTGTGGCTTGCCTTTAACTATTGGTAGAGAGCGGTACAGTGGTCAGACAGGATCCGTGCCAAACGCATGAGTTTCCCACCACTCGGACCCGTCCCAAACCTATCGGGTTCGCATAGGATCCGTCCATGGAGATTCGGACCCGCATGGGGTCCGCAGCGGATTCGTACCTGCATCCGACGCCCAAGGCGAGGCTGACACTCCTGAAAGGGGACCTTCGTCAACGTTTGCGGGGGCCCCTGCAGTCGGTTTCAGGCGCCCCACGCTTCGCCCATCGCCCGCGACCTGCCGCCCAACTCCCTTTCCCCAGGGTGGCTGGGCCGACGGCCCTTGGCCTAGCTGGGCCAACAGTCTTGCACCTTCGTGCGGCCTGATACTTCGGGCCGACTTCTCAAATCGTATCAACTTCCTGATTGGGAACCGTTGGGTCGCTGTTGGGGCAATATGCGGCTATCTTGGCTGCCATGGTGGCATGCCTGGGTGCTATTGGTATCCAGGTTGGGCCGATGCCTCCCCGAGCTGGAGAGGAGAGGCTGGGGACGTCTCTCGAGCGAGAGGGGGGGCGGACCACGCCACCAGGGAGACCCCCCTTGCTCCGCGCATCCCCTCGTCCTGGGGGTGTTGGTGCCGCCTTTGCTTTGTTCCTGGGGAGAGAGGGCCGCGAGGAGCGGTTCCTGCAGAAGATCTTCCTGATGAAGGAGGAGGACGGGCCGCTTTGTGTGCCTCGCCGCGGCAGTGCCGACGGCGCCCCCGGTGCAGCAAGATCGCAGAAGGGGAGCGCCTGGGCGTGGAGTTTCAGTCACTAAGTCAAAACAGATGCCCAATCCCAAAAACGCGAGGGCCAAGACAAAATGCAGGCTCCTCGAGACTTCGGGGAGGGAGATTTTGGGGTAGGGTTTTACCAGGGCGACGACGACGAACGCAAAACATACCCCCGAAATCTTTGGCCGATCTTCGAATCCTCGGTGAATCCGCGATTTTGGGATTGGGGATGTGTTTTTTCGTGGTCATTTGGGTTCGCGCAGCACCAGTGCCGCCACTGCTTGCGCGCTCGCTGATCGCGCTTGTCTTGTGCTGCCTTCGGCCAGCACCCTGGCAGACGGCTGCCACTGGGAGGCACGACCAGAAGTGTCCAAGGGCCCCGTCCTGGGCGTCTCGTCGCTGGCTCCACGGGCGTGCGGAAGCCGAGACTGGTGCAGCGGGAGGAGTCAGAGAGCTCGCCTGGGGGCGATCGTGCCGAGGAGAGCCGTGCTGACGCGGGCCGATCTCTCCCGCCCTCGAGCCGCTCCCTCTGCCCATCGTCTGGCCGCCCTCCAACCGCCTCGTGTCTCCTCTCTCTCTGGCCCTCCTGCTCTCCCTGCTCGGTCTCCCGGTCATGGCACCCCGTCCTTCCCTCGGTCTCCCCCCCCTATCCCCCCTCACCTTGGCATCGCTCGGACGTGTGCATTTTTCCTTCGGCGGGGACTATCGAGAGGAGCATCCTTGATCATTTGGCGAAAAAACCACGCACGAAACCGACAACAAACACAGGGAATGGACGTCCGAGCGATGGCGAGTCAGTCTTCCGCCTGCTCGCTGCGCTCGAGCGCTCCGGGAAGTCGAGGCGCGTGCCCCCCGCGCGCGTGGTTATTGCCGTGGGGTCTCCTGCGCGCGGCCCAGGGCCCTGGCGGAGCACCCCAAAGGGGAGCGCTCCGTTCAGGAGGGAAAGGTTTACACAGACACAATGAATCGTCGACTCCCAGGAAGATGTGCAAAGATATGGGAAGTGGGGGGAAGACAAACAAACCCAAACATATGGGAGCATCTGGGGAATCTTTTTATTTGTGTGTATTCATTTTTGTGTGTCCTGGGGCCCCTTCATCCGTGCCTCTCCCTGCCCCACTCACGGCGCTCCTCCCTGCAGGGCCAGCGGGGCGAGAGGCCGGGAGCGTGGCAATACCGTCGGAGTGTGTCGACATCTGCTGTGTTGGTTGTCTCTGTCTCCTTTGCGCCCGTATATCCATGCACGGATCGATCCATGTTCCGAGTTCTATCTCTCTCTCTCTCTCTGTCTGTCTGTTTGGATGCCAATCTCCCTCTCTCTCTCAATGTCCACCTCGATGCGCGCGCGCGTGGGATGCAGCAAGCGGGAGGACCAGGGGGGAGGAAGACGATGGGTGTCGGAGGTGGATGCAGGCTGTTTCCGCTGTTTTTGAATGTTCGCATAGCGCGTCGTGGTGTGCGCGCGTGGGTGGTGATGGACGAGTGCACAGGGCACGCGGCACGTGTCTTTCTTCGAGCTTTCCTGCCCGCCGTTGATCGGACACGAATCGATCTCCCGCAGGACGCAAGGAAGAAGCGGGCCGTGCAGGAGAAGATCGAGCGCGAGCAGGCTATGAGGTGCGGCTGGCTGCATTATCCCATCTGGGCTGTGCCCAGTTTGGGGTTTGTCGATCTTGCTCCTCCTCCTCCTCCTCCTCCTCCTCCTCCTCCTCCTCCTCCCCTGCCTCTGTCATTGAGGACTCTCCTTGGCAGCGCCTCCGGCGACATCCCTGAAGCGCGCGAGGGGGTCGGGGACCCACTGCCGACCAAAGAAGTCCGCGCGGCATTCCGAAAGCTATGATTTTTTTATGTGGTTCTGTGTTTCTCTATGTTCAGGAGGGAAAAAACACACAGACACAATTAATCGTCGATTTCCCAGAAAATATGGGAAAATATGGGAAGTGGGGGGGAAGACAGAAACCCAGAAAATATGGGGAACATTTTTATTTGTGTGTATTTATTTGTGTGGTTCTGTGTTCCTCTATGTCCCGAACTGCCAGCTGTAACCCCCCCACACACCCATGGCATGGCCAGCACAAGTCCGAGGTCCCGGGGAGCAGCAATGAGACGCTGGACGGCGACAAACACTTGGGAGAGAGCGAGCAGAAGGAGTGGCAGGGAAGGAGGACGAGGAGCACGAGATGTGGTCAGCACGACGGTCAAGCCACAGCGGGCATCGGAGAAGTGGCTATAGCTGCCACCGCCAGGGTCTTCCGTTATCCGCCTGGCAGCTGCGGCGGCGGCACGCGCGGCGCGTGAGGCGCTCAGACTCACCCCGTGCGCTTCGTCCCTCGTTTTTGAAGCATTGTCATCCTTCTCGTCAGCCTTTCCGTGCTCGTCCTGGTCCCACATGTCTTCCTGTTCTTCTTTGTTGTCTTCTTTGTTCGCGTTTCAAGCGGGACCCCTCTGGATATCGCATCAGATGCAGAGGAGGCAGCGGGGGAAGGCTTACAGGAATCGGCGGATCATGGTGTAGCCTGGAGGATCGATTAATGGTGGTGGGTATGGAGCCTTGTGGGAGAGCGGCAGAGCAGCACCAGCACCAGATAATGGCATGCACATACACATATATATACACATATGTATATGTACATGTGTATATATATAGATATGGATTATATATAAGTATACACGTGTATACATGTACATATCAAATGTGTATACAGATGTCTGCGTGCCAGATAGGAGCTATTCACGGCGAGAGGGTACATGTAGGTCTGCAGCAAAATATTGATGTATCATACGTGCAGTGTCAGACTAGGGCCTCTAGCATCTGTGTGCGATACATGGCTTCGGGTAGAGGCGTATTTTTATCAGAGTGAGGGGGCCGAACGGTCATCCATTGTTCCTGGGTGCATGGCTGAAGTGGGGATCCGTGGTGGGGACTCTGCTTGTTGCGTTGTTGTTGTTGCTGCTGCTGTTGCTGTTGCTGTTGCTGTTGCTGTTGTTGTTGTTGAACATTATTAATTCTAAAGAATAATTATTGTTGGGCCCCCTGGTGCGCGCCCCCCCCGCCGCGCCTAGGCCGCAGCCACGTTTTCATCATTTTCGTGAGGAAGCCTCAGGTAATTCGATGTCATCAAGATCCGGTTGTTTTGTTCCCCCCCGCTTTCCCTTGCAAAAAACACTATAAAATGAAATTTCTTGTTCTAATATAATCAAATTTCAAGAATCCCTTGCAAAAAATAAGGTAAAGTGGACATTCGCGCGCGCAAGACGAAATCCTTCCAAAAGCTTAGTGTTCGGAGCGATTTTAACATAAAAACATCAAAAAACCAATGGTTTTTCAACAAAAAAATGTCAAAATCTCATCCCGCGCGCTCTTGCGGATTCGTAGGAAACCCAACACTTTTTAAACATTTCTGTCAAACGGGCTTTTGCGAGCAACTTTTTCGAACTTCTGCGACAACGGTTGCGCACCTGCCAGGGCCATCATCCCTGTCAAATAATACCATGCGGGACACATTCGTTTTTTCTTCGCGCGCGCACGCCGAAATCTCCAAAAACCATTGGGTTCTGTGGGTGTGTACCCCGCGCCAGTGTAGTAGCCACGGTCGTCCGCACGCCACGAAGTGAAGTGTCCCAACGTCATAGGGCGGGAAGCTGGGTTTGGGTGGTCGCGAAGAGTCGTTTGGATATTTGGTAGAGCTTGTAATGCCCCCCCACGAAGTGGGGGTATTGCCTGGTGTCGTATGAAAACCCTGGCACTGGGGAGAACACCACGCGTTCGGGTAAAATGATTGTTGTTGTTGTTGTTGAACATTATTACTTCTAAAGAATAATTATTGTTGGGGCCCCTGGTGCACGACCCCCCCGCCGCGCCTAGGCCGCAGCCTCATTTTCATCATTTTCGTGAGGAAGTCTCAGGCAAAACGGGGGGTCCGGATCCGGTTGTGTTGTTACGATCGGTTTTCCCTTGCAAAAAATAAGCTAAAGTGGACATTTCTTGTTCTAACATAACCAAACTTCAAGAATCCCTTGCAAAAAATAAGGTAAAGTGGACATTCGCGCGCGCAAGACGAAATCCTTCCAAAACCTTAGTTTTCGTAGCGATTTTAACATAAAAACATCAAAAAACCAATGGTTTTTCAAAAAAAAATGTCAAAATTTCATCCCGCGCGCTCTTGCGGATTCGTAGGAAACCCAACACTTTTTAAACATTTCTGTCAAACGGGCTTTTGCGAGCAACTTTTTCGAACTTCTGCAACAACGGTTGCGCACCTGCCAGGGCCATCATCCCTGTCAAATAATACCATGCGGGACACATTCGTTTTTTCTTCGCGCGCGCACGCCGTCGTCGTCGGCCGCGGGGCCCTGAATAGTAGCCACGGTCGTCCGCATGCCACGAAGTGAAGTGTCCGAACGTCATAGGGCGGGAAGCTGGGTGTGGGTGGTGGCGAAGAGTCGTTTGGAAATTTGGTAGAGCTTGAACCGGCCCCCCCACAAAGTGGGGGTATTGCCCGCCTCCTATGAAAACCCTGGCACTGGTGAGAACGGTGTGTCCCCACGTGCTAGTAATTGTTGTTGTTGTTGAAGATCATTTCTAAAACATCATTATTGTTGATCTCCAGGAACGGTTCCGCGCGCTCTCGCCTCGACGCCGGCTACATTTTCTCTGTCAACGAGACTCCCGCTCCAGCGGTGGCTTGACCCTAAATGTGCGCCCTTGGAGGCCCACCTACGACAAGAACGGCTCCCGCTCGATATTTCCTCACAATGTACCCCGAGACACCCTGGCCAGAAAGGCCCCCAAACTCAGGAACGGCGCTTTTGCTCGAGACATCCTCGCAATTCAATTATCAATTAAATTGGCGGAGGCCCAGCCATGACGACAAGGGTTCTGCTCGATACTTCCTCACGATTTACTCCGAAGCCCCTGGCCAAGAAGACCCCCGAACTCAGGAACGGCGCTCTCGTACGAGACATTCAAGTAACTCATGCAAGTTGGTGGAGGCCCTGACACGGCGACAAGGGCTCCTGTTTGATACTTCTCCATCGGTATTCGGGGAGCCCCTTGCCAGAGAGGCCCCCGAAGTCGGGAACGGCACTCTCGCCTGAGACTTTGTCACACTTCAGTCAGTGGCCGACAAGGAAGAGATTCCCCCCGAAAGGGGGTGCAATCGAAGAAGTGGGCGGGTATCGAGGGTTGGGGTATACGGATTGCAAGACACGCGTGCCAGTAAGAGCGAACAGTCTTAAAATGATAATTGTTGTTGTTGTGTTGTTTCTTGTCGTCGTCCCACCCGCGACCCACCCGCGACCCACCCGCGACCCACGCCGGGACCCACCCCGACCCACCCGCCACCCACCCGCGACCCACCCGGACCGACCCCGCGACCCACCCGCCACCCACCCGCGACCCACCCGCGACCCATCCGCGACCCATCCGCGACCCACCCCGCGACCCACCCCGCGGCTCACCCGCGACCCACCCGCGACCCAACAACGACCCACCCGCGACCCGACCCACCCGCGACCCATTTGCGACCCACCCGCGACCCACCCGCGACCTAGCCACATTGGTTTAATGAACAAATCTGCTCCTGTGGCACCTGCGGCGGGCTTCTCCAGAGTTTCGCAGGCTGCCGACGTCCCCACAGCCCCTTCACTCTTATCCGCATCTGCGGGCTGATACGTATAGGTAAACACCTTGTGTGTGTGGCCACCTGTGTATATACATATATATATATATATATATATACATATATATATACACATGCGCACATGATTGCACACGTGTATGTATACATTGGCATACAATCACACCGACATGAATAGACACACACACACATAGACACATACATATCATATATATATATATATATATACACGTACACCCCCAGGTAGATGTGTGTATTGGCAGGTTGTCGGATCCGTGCACATAAAGTTGCGACTTGTGAACAGTCATTTCATCAACGAATATATTTGAGTATCTATGTATCGGAATGTATATCTGTATGTGTAGTGCGAGATTGATAGGCGCGGGGCTTACATACACATGCATATGTATACATATATTGAGGTGGGGAGGGGGAGCGGGAGAGAGACAGAGAGAGAGAGAGATAGAGCGAGAGAGATAACCAACAAACACGTCGCGATGTGCTATATATTTACACACATCGGGAGAGCGAGAGATAGAGAGTGAGGGGGAGAAAGAGAGAGGGATCTCTCACTATATCTATATATATACACATATATATATATATTGAGAGAGAGAGAGAGAGAGAGAGAGAGAGAGAGAGAGAGAGAGAGAGAGACCGATAGCGAGCGACTGAGTGAGAGAGGAAGAGAGATATATAACATAGAGAGATATGGATCTACGCACTTATGTATACATCTATGTACTACAACTATACTTCCATACTTTGCACACCTATGTTCGCATACGTATATAGGCAGGGAGGGGGATAGAGAGAGAGAGCTAACGAACGAAATCGAGAGAGAGAGAGAGAACACGGGAGAGAAAAACACACGAGAGAGATAGGTAGTGGCAGACGGAGTTTTCGGGATATGGATGGCCATGATACAGTGATCGCGGTGACATGTCCTCGTTGGCGATCTGGCAAGAGCTTCCCTAC